TATTCACCCTTTTCATATGGTTCTATGAATTTTGACAAAAGAACAATCACTGTAGTTAAGATATATAACATTTCATCATTCCAAAAAGTTTCCTTGTGCTCCTCAATAATGAATCCTCCCTTCCTCCTGGCAACCACTGACCTGTTTGTCCCCATAGCTTTGGCTTATCCAGGATTTCATATGAATAGAATCATTTGTGTCTCACTTTTTTCCCTTAGCATTAATGCCTTTGAGAATTGTCCAAGTTGTTGCTTGTATCAATAGTTTATTCCTGTATATTGCAGAGTTGTACTCATTGTATTGATGTATATGCGCATTTACCCATGAACTATATTAAGTATATTTTGAGTTATTGTCAACTTTTGGCAGTTCAGAAAAAGCTGCTATAAACATCCAGGTACAGGTTTTTTGTGTGAACATTTATCTTGGTTGAATACCTAGGAGTGGGATTTCAAGGTCATATGGTAATTGTATGTTTAATTTAAAAGAAATTGCCAAACTGTTCTCCAAAGTAGGTATACCATTTTGCATTCCCACCAGCAACATATGAGATTTCTAGTTTCTGTACATCTTCACCAGTACTAGGTATTGTCATTTTTTAAAAGGCTTTTCAGTGGGTATGTAGGGGTAATTCATTCATTGTGGTTTTAATATTAATTTACTGAATGATTAACAATATGAGCATCTTTTCATGTACTTAATTGCCATTTATATTGTTTGTTTGTGTGTTTGTGTCCAATATCTGTTCAAAGCTTTTGACCATGTTTAAAATTGGATTTCTTGCTTTCTTCTTATTGAGTTGTGAGAGTCAACTCACACTTGTATTCTGGATACTAGTCTTTTATCAGATGTGTGTGTTATAAATATTTTTCCTAGCTTGTGGCTTGCCTTTTCATTTTCATAACAGTACTTTTCAAAAAGCAAAAGCTTTAAATTTTTATGAAGTCCAGAGAAGAAAAATAACGACTCTATAGCCTCTTACTACACTGATGGACAGTGATTGCAGTGGGGTAGGGGGGCACTTGATAATATGGGTGAAAGTTGAAACCACAATGTTGCTCATGTGAAATTTTCAAAAGATTGTAGATGAACGATATCTTAATTTTTAAAAAGTGGAGAACAAATTAGTTATAATTATAAAGCAATTAAGTTATAAAAGTAGTGTAAATAAAAAAATTTTTGATGAAGTCTAATGTATCGATTTTTTTCTTTTATGGATCATACATTTTGTAAATATCTGTGAAATCTTTGCCCAACTAAAAGTCAGAAAGATTTCTTCCTATACTTTCTTCCAGAAGTTTTTTAGTTTGAAGTTTTACATTTAAGTCTAAGATCCATTTGTGTTATTTTTTGTATATGGTGTGACTATTGGTATTTATACCAATACATATGATTACATCTGATCATCATTTAAAAAAACCTTTGAGGAAGGCACATCAGGAATTTAATCTCCGTTTTACAAATGAGAAGACTGAGATTAGAGAGGTGCTGTGTGACTTGGTCAAGATCCCACAGCTAATAAGAGGTGAAATTGCAAGGTAAGAGGTAAAATTGTGATGAGAGTTCAGGCCTCCTATTGTCTCTCCCAGGCCAGTACTTCTGTAGCTAGGCAGCTAGGGTTCAAGATGGCACCCTGCCGGCAAAGCAAAGACTCCCAGTGGGGATCTGAGCAATCTATCAGGCACTAAAAGACACAGACTAAAAGACTAGCCCTGACTTCACTCAAACTGTACTCCTCTGGCCCACTTAGGGCTCCACAACTGAAGAGAGCCAGGAGCTGGCCTTGTGTCTGTTCATGTGACACACAATGAATGCTTTTTGATGACGACGAAGACTTGGAATGTGCCTGAAAGTAATTACAGAGTTAGAAGTTAAAGCTAAGGTTAAAAGTTAAAGTTAAGGGAACTACGATTATTTAGCATAGCAAAAATGGCCCAAGATGAAATTTGGTAACAGCCTTCAAACAAACAAACAAAAAAACCTTAGGCTTTCTTTCTGATGGCTGAGCAAAGGGAAATGGCTGGAAGAATCTAAGTAAAAGTAAATTTCTTCCTTTCTGTTAAGGATTGTTACAGACACTTAAGAACCTTCAGAGACAGAATAAACTCTTACTATTTCAGTTTGGTGTCAGAGATTTGCCAAATACGGGCTCTGATGAAATACTTCAGCATGAGGGTTACATGAACTTCTTATACAGTGTCCTTAGAAATCTTTGGGTGGCTCCTGAACCTGCTCTATGTCCTCGCACAATTCCAGGAGGCCTTTGTCTGCGGCCTTCCTTGCTCCTTAGTCTTAGCATCTTCACAGGACTATTCCAATGACCAAGACAAACCTTACCCTTAGCTCCTGAAGTCTTAATTACTTTCCATGCTTCTTGGCCTTCAAGTCAAGTTGCCCAGTGCCTAATGCTATAAATTTGGATTAGCATCCCTGGAAGGGCCTGAAATGTTGGTTAGTCCAAATATGATCCCAATGCTTGAATCCCCCGTTTTATATCTGGCCTCTGCTTTTACATCTTCAATGATGGGAAGCTTCATTCATCCCAGTAGAAGATATATTACAATGAATTTTGGACTAGCAATAAGGATAGTTGGGTTTGAGTCTCAGCTCTGCCACTAACTTCCTGTGTGATCTTTGGTAAATCTTTTACATTTCTGAACCTGTTTCTTTATCAGTAAAATGGTAGTGGAGGAATCTCTGTTTTAGTTTGCGCCAGGTCAAGTGCTATAACAAATGGCCCTCAAAACTTCAGTGGCTTAAATGACAAGAAGTTTATTTCTTATGCAATATTCAGGACAGGGGTGACAGATGGGAGAGAAAGGGGGAACTTTGCTCCATTTAGTTATTCAAGGATACAGACAGAACTGATGGCAGTTCATTCAGGCTTTTTTTTGGTATCATTAATCTACAATTACATGAGCAACATTATGGTTACTAGATTCCCCCCCACCATCAAGTCCCCACCACATACCCCATTACAGTCACTGTCCATCAGTGTAGTCAGATTCTGTAGAATTACTACTTGTCTTCTCTGTGTTGTACAGCCCTCCCTGTGCCCCCTACACCCTACATTATTTTTGCTAATTGTAATGCCCCTTTTCCCCCCTTGTCCCTCCCTTCCCACTCATCCTCCCCAGTCCCTTTCCCTTTGGTAACTGTTAGTCCATTCTTGGGTTCTGTGTTTCTGCTGCTGTTTTGTTCCTTCAGTTTTTTTCTTTTTCTTATACTCCACAGATGAGTGAAATCATTTGATACTTGTCTTTTTCCACCTGGCTTATTTCACTGAGCATAATACCCTCTAGCTCCATCAATGTTGTTGCAAATGGTAGGATTTGTTTTCTTTTTATGGCTGAATAATATTCCATTGTGTATATGTACCACATCTGCTTTATCCATTCATCTACTGATGGACACTTAGGTTGTTTCCATTTCTTGGCTATTGTAAATAGTGCTGCAATAAACATAGGGGTGCATCTGTCTTTTTCAAACTGGGCTGCTGTATTCTTAGGGTAAATTCCTAGGAGTGGAATTCCTGGGTCAAATGGTAATTCTATTCTGAGATTTTTGAGGAACCTCCATACTGCTTTCCACAATGGTTGAACTAATTTACATTCCCACCAGCAGTGTAGAAGGGTTCCCCTTTCTTCACATCCTCACCAACATTTGTTGTTGTTTGTCTTTTGGATGGTGGTGATCCTTACTGGTGTGAGGTGATATCTCATTGTGGTTTTAATTTGCATTTCTCTGATGATTAGTGATGTGGACATCTTTTCATGTGCCTGTTGGCCATCTGAATTTCTTCTTTGGAGAAGTGTCTGTTCAGATCCTTCGCCCATTTTTTAATTGGATTATTTGCTTTTTGTTTGTTGAAGTGCATGAACTCTTTATATATTTTGGATGTCAATCCTTTATCATATATGTCATTTATGAATATATTCTCCCATACTGTAGGATGCCTTTTTGTTCTATTGATGACGTCCTTTGCTGTACAGAAGCTTTTCAGTTTGATACAGTCCCACTTGTTCATCTTTGCTTTTGTTTCCCTTGCCCAGGGGAATATGTTCATGAAGAAGTTGCTCATGTGTATGTCCAAGAGATTTTTGCCTAAGTTTTTTTTCTAAGAGTTTTATGGTTTCATGACTTACATTCAGGTCTTTGATCCATTTTGAATTTACTTTTGTATATGGGGTTAGACAATGATCCAGTTTCATTCTCTTACATGTAGCTGTCTAGTTTTGCCAACACCAGCTGTTGAAGAGGCTGTCATTTCCCCATTGTATATCCATGGCTCCTTTATCATATATTAATTGACTGTATATGTTTGGGTTAATATCTGGACTCTCTATTCTGTTCCACTAGTCTGTGGCTCTGTTCTTGTGCCAGTACCAAATTGTCTTGATTACTGTGGCTTGGTAGTAGAGCTTGAAGTTGGAAAGCAAGATCCCCCCTGCTTTATTCTTCCTTCTCAGGATAGCTTTGGCTATTTGGGGTCTTTTGTGGTTCCATATGAATTTTAGAAAGTCCATTCAGTCTTAATACATGACTTCTAAGGTTGCTCTGCAGTTTTAGCCCACAGGAAGACAGAAACCTCAATGGGAGTTTTTTTATGGTCCAGGCCTGAAAGTGGTATCACTTTTACCCACATTGTATTGGTCAGAATTCAGTCACATGCTCATGTGAAACAGCCAAAGAGGCTGAGAAGTGTACTGCAGCTGTGTGGTGGCTAGCCAGAAGGCTCCATCATAGGCTCAATAATCTCTAAAGGCCCCTGCCCCAGGTCTGAAGTTCTGGGTATGTTTATAAACTAGACTCCTGGTTCTCATATTGCCCAGCTATAGGCTTTTGAAAATTGCCTAACCTTTGACTGTTTGGGACTAGCAGGCTGGCAGTGCAGGTCAATGCAATGCTCCCTTTGAAAGGTCAGAGAAGAACTGAGATACCAGCCACACCACCAGGTACCATATTAAGCTAAGGTGTCTTTGTGCTTCTTTTCTCTGCAGCATGGGTAGGAGCCCTCTCAATGGGTATGATCTTCTTCTGCTCTCCCATTGTGAGTATATTCACTGATCGGTTGGGCTGCCGAATCACAGCAACTGCAGGGGCTGCTGTCGCTTTCATTGGCCTCCATACCAGCTCTTTCACCAGGTAAGGCTAGGAGTTGCTGGCCATGAGTCCAAAACTGAGGGTTGACTTCTTTCTGGGCCCCAACTAGGGATACTCTTCTAATTGCAGAATCTCCCGTGGCCCTTTTCATGTAGGGTCCTCAAAGACTCTGCTCCCCAGGAATCACTGTCCAATAGGACTTATCTAGGTAGGGTCCCCAGGACACACTGATAGGGAATATCCCCACAGAGGACCCAAGAGTTCCAAAGTGGTGTGAGAAGCCTAATTTCCGAAGTTCATACAGCTGGGCCCAAGTTCAGTTTTGGTTACTGAATGGCTATGGAACAATTGTTGAGTGCCATTCCTCTCTCTGGGCCTCTGTTTCTGTATCTGTATCATGAGATGATTAGACCAGATGGTCTTTTTGGGTCCCTTCCAGGTCTGTCATTCTGTTCCCGTTCAATGTGCCACACATCTCATGACTTCATCTGCCCTCCCAGGAGCTTCTGGAGTGAGCCCACATGAATGCTTACCATTACAGGACTCCTGAGGAAATATTATGCTGAAAAAGAGGTCAGCTGAGCCCCACTCTGTTTAGCATTTCTGGCCCCTTCGCAGGTATTTCTGGCCATCAGTGTATGGACAATTTGGGACAAATAAAGTTTCATGCCTTGGGCATGAGAAGGAATTTTTAACAACATATGCCACTGAGGTACAGACCCAGCACTCAGCTACCCAGCTAGGCCTAGGCTAAACTCAAAGTCTGGTCCCACTGGTCCCACTGGCAGAACTTGGTAGTATCAGGTAAGGAGCAGGCTATAAGTTCATTTTCTGCTTTCTTTCTGTCAGCCTGGCAAAACCTGTCTGTAGGGGAGAGGAGAAGTAAAAATCCTCCACCACCTGAGGAATATGGGATCCCCAAAAAACTCTGTTGACATTCAACCAAAGACACTTTGGAAGTTAAGGTACCTCCTACTTCCAACCTGCCTGGGCTGGTATAGGAGAATACTGGCCTGGAGACCAGCTAACTTGCCAGAGACTTGCTTTCTGAGCTTGCCATCCCAGAGAAGGCCCATGGTTATGCTCTCTACACCTAAGGTTCCACTCACAGGGGAGAATGATAATTGTGTTCCGTCATAACCAGATCCTTTGAGCGCGAGCCAGCTTTCTTTATGACTTGAGCATTTCCAGCTGCCCCGCCTACCCTTCAGCAGAGCTTGAATCCGGCCTGCAATGGTTTCTTGGCTTGGTCTCATCCAACTGGGTCAGAGGAGGGGAAAACCATGTCCTGTCTGGAACCTGCTAGCCCTCCCAAGGCAGCAGCTCCATATCCTTTCAGGACCCCTCTGGTGGTTGGCCTCATCTGCCCTCAGCAAGCTGGTGCCTGGCTCCTTGAGGGAAGGAGCTAGGCCTCAGAAGTGGCTCCAGTGTCAGCACTACACAGCAGAGGCCTGTGTTTTGAGGCTGAGCAGAGCAAAGTGTAAACAAATTAGCAACATACGGATCCCATTTCCCTTCCAATCCACATGAGCTCAGTTACAGGAGGGAATGGAGCTCAGATGTGTTTTTTTCTGGCACTGTTCTTTAGGCACATTGGAGTAGGCATTGTTTTCCAACCCCTAAGCCCCTTCTCCACCCCCTTTGCCCTTTCTGTAAGAATATCTTCAGAGCCGAGAAACTTTCTGGATGGTTTCACGTCCAGTGGAAAAATGGTTCTGTTGGTGGCTAGAACTCCCAAGTCATCCTTCCTGTTGTCTGAATCAGGGCTCTGAGTTCTTCTGGATGGCTTGAGGTGTAGCAGAGTGCAAGCAGGGCTGGGGAGGCTGTGGCAAGCCTATTTGGGGGCCTCCTACCTTGGAGTCCAGCTAGAAATAGATCCACCACATAGCACCCTGAACTGAATCACATGCTTTGCCACAGCCATACCCCTCCCTAAAGATCTCCCTTAGACCTTCCTATCTCCTCTCCCTTAGACAAGGACCCCAGTCCAGCAGGCCCCAAGAAATCTGATAGAAGTGAAACAGTTAGCTTAGCCATGTGTTCCAAGTGGAAGCAACTCTTTTGGAACTACAGCCCTTGCTCATACCCAGTGAATGCAAGCAGATGAAAAGCAGTGGTAATGATAGCTGTCTCAGAATTATGAGTGCCAGCACCACATCATCTTTGCAGCATAGGTCCAGGCCATCAGTATGAAGACTGGCTTGCTCTATATTATGTGGAGGAAATGTCTGACCATAGAGAGTACTGGGAAATTGAGTGTTCAGATAAGAACTATCATAAAATATGTGGAGTTTTCAAAAAGAAAACTTAATTCTTCATTAGGTTGTGCTACTATTGTCTGGGGCAGATGGCTGGCTGGGCTGACCTTCCATTGGCCTTTTCCATTTTGATACTTTGCTTTCTCTTACAGAGGCTTATGGCCACAACCGGGTCTAAGAGTTTTAAGTCAGCATCTATCTTATTTGGCCAGGCCTACAAATGCTTTGAGGCTCCACTTCCCATCAAGCAGCTAGGCTACTCTGAGAAGCTAATGCATACCATGTCCAGTAATGGGAGCTGGGCTCTAGAAGATAAAGGGACTACTTACCTCAGGATCTTCATGGAGATCATCTAGGGCCTGGTGTAATGGGTCTTGGGATATCTACACCTTGGGCAGGTTTGGGGAGCAGATGTCTTTCAGGAGACCAGCAGCCATTCTCTGAAATATTAAGGGCTGTGGCATGGAGAAAGATGTAAAGAGCCCTACAGAGGGTCTCAGCCTTCCAGGATCTTGGTTTTGCAGACCTTTGTTGTTACTTGGGATAAAGCTTTGACTACCAGCCTACACATGGTGCGAGACCTATCATGGTGAGCAGTAAGTGAAACTGTTCTCTCCTAGGCACTGACTTGCTCTTTGTAGCCCCTTATCTACCTTTGCATAAGCTGGTTCTGGCTTTCTTTTCAACAGTCGTCTCTGATGGGGTGCTATAATTCAAACTAGAGTCACACAGACCTAGAGTCTAGTCCAAGCTTCGCTGATCCCCAGTTATACTACCTTGGGTAAATTACTTCTCTGAGCCTGTTTTCTATCTCCTCAGTGGGGATCCAAAGACCCTGTTCCTTATCTGTTCTGAAGGTCAGAAGTGAGTGGGGCTGTAGGTTAAAGATGGGAGGATGAAGGTCTCAGGAGGGTGAAGGGAGAGGGGCAGATGGATTGATGGTCAGGCTGCTGAAGATAGCTCTTGTTGTCTCTCCCACAGCTCACTAAGCCTGCGTTACTTCACCTATGGAATTCTCTTTGGTTGTGGCTGTTCCTTCGCCTTCCAGCCATCTCTCGTTATCTTGGGCCATTACTTCCAACGCCGCCTGGGTCTGGCCAATGGTGTGGTGTCTGCTGGGAGTAGCATCTTCTCCATATCCTTCCCCCTCCTCATCAAAACACTGGGGGCTAAGATCAAGCTTGCCCAAACCTTCCAGGTGCTGAGTACCTTTATGTTTATTCTTACACTGCTTTCACTCACCTACCAGCCCCTCCTGCCCAGCTCCCAGGACACCCCAAACAAAAGGGGTGTCCACAGCCTGTGCCAACGTTTTCTGGCTCAGCTCAGGAAGTACTTCAACATGCGAGTGTTCCGCCAACGTACCTACCGCATCTGGGCATTTGGGATTGCTGCTGCTGCCCTTGGCTACTTTGTTCCCTATGTACACCTGGTGAGTAATACCAGGGTGGGCCCACTTACCTCATGAGAGAAAAGCTGCTTTAAACCTGCCTGAAGTCTAGAAAGTAGGGGCTAAGGTCACTGAAAGAGCAGAGTTGGAACTTCTGGAAAGAGAAAAAACAGTGTTTGGAGATACCTACAGTAGGAAAGAGCACAGGCTGAGGGAATACCTAAACAAGAAATGGAGGGAGTTTCTTAGGGTAAGACCCATGCCTATAGTTTCCCCCACTGACAAATCTGCATAGACTTTTAAGAGAAGATAAGCATCACTGTGATGCAGGAGACAGGCCCAGATGACCCAATGATAGGGTTTTCTAAGAGTGTGTTCTATGAAATGCTGGTCTTTGTGGTCAATTTTATTTAATATACAGAGGTATATTAGACCTCTGTAACTTCACAATGTGTAGCAATCTTTTAAAGGTACCAAAAAATCTTGCAGTGAAAGAAACTCATTCAGCTTTGCTTAACTGTTGTCCACCCAACTTGTTTGGCCACAGAACTGCTTGTTGTAGTCCACCCATTATCTTCGACAGACCTTATGTTTCTTAAAACAGTCTTTGGAAAGTGTTACCAGGAAGTGGGTCACTCCTTGTCCCCTAGTGACCCACTATTGTCCCAGGCTGTCCGGGGATGGGGAGGTTGTGGAAGAACCCATAAATTTTCTCAGTTGTTAAGGCTATATTCTGTTCTGTCAGGGTTTGCAAGGGGCTTGGCGATACTCACCTCCTCCCTTTTTGCTTAGAAGCCCAGAATCCAGAAAGCAAAGGGATATAGAGACTTTTAAGCTGTTAGAAGCAGCCAGAGAGCATGTCTCAGAGCTAGGGCTGCAGGCAAGGGCATCTCCGGGGAATTAAGCAGGGGATGTTCTACATATGCCAACAGCTAACCAGTTTCTCTTCTTCCTCCTGTCCCTGGTGGCCTGGTGTTATGCTTTTCAGATGAAGTATGTTGAAGAGGAGTTCTTGGAAATCAAGCAGACCTGGGTGCTGTTGGTATGTATTGGGGCTACCTCAGGCCTCGGGCGCCTTGTGTCTGGCCGTGTCAGTGACTCCATTCCTGGACTCAAGAAGATCTACTTGCAGGTGAGTGTGACCACCCTGTCCACTGTGGTGAGGAAGAGCCTGCCACAGATGCTGGGTTATTTCCAGTTTTTGGGACATAATGGTAGAGCATGTCATTGCTGTGCCCTGGCCCCAGCTCTGACACCAGCTTGTTGTACAGCATGGGAAAGTCAATCAAATTCTCTGAGTCTCAATTTTCCTTGCTTTCAAATGAAGACAGTCATCTTTGTTCTGCTTCCTTCATCAAGACTGAGGATCCAGTGAGAGCAACATAAATGGAACCTCTAAGAACACTTTCAAAGGAAGTGTTTATTAAGTAATGGGTTTCCCATCTGAGAGGGAAACTGAGGCCAGGAGCTAGATGCTGCTCCCACTGAGGACTGATCTCTTTGCTACTCTAAGCTGTCTTGGAGGATCTTGGGCATGTAGTACTCCCTGACCCACAGTGTCTGTCTACTCTAAGTCCAGGCCCAAATTCATCACCTCTTATACTTCCAGAGCTACTTGGAACCAACCACTGGCTCTCAAATGCCATCCTGTTGATATACACAGAAGAAGTGCTAGAGAAGGCAAGACCTCACTTCCCTTCTTTAGGCCTCACATTCCTCATTTGTACAGTGATAATTCTTGCCTTTCCTATCTCACGTTGCATGTAAGGATCTAAAGAAATATAGGTGCGACCAGGCTTTGGAAAGTAAAAAATGTTATAGCCATACAAGGTTTTAGTTCTCCTGACAGTGACACAGACACCCTCATATTGGGGGAAGTAGCCACATGGATGCTTGAGAGGCCACTTTCTATGTGAACCGGCCTCTAGTCTGGCTTGAATACAGACTACTGCTCAAGCTGTTTGGCTTTGTTTACCTGGCATCAACATTGTGTTTCTGACCTGGTTCATGATATTTGCTCTAGCAGCTGAGTTTAGCAGAAGGTGACCAAGTGTAGAAAACTGTGGAGGTGCATGGCAGCCCCAGAAAACATGTGGTCATGAGTAACCCATCAGGAAGGTGGTTGAGTCTGACTCTCCTGGGAGACCCTAAAAGCACTTCCAAGGGATCCTTACTACATTCACAGCATGGATTTCTCTGCCTTCTGAGATCCCCATCTGGCTTCCTAAATACCCTCAGATGTCTCATAAGGATATGATTAAGGTCTCCTGTTGTGTATAATTCTGTGTTAGATTGGCAAGAGCCAGTGAATTTGCTTTGTCAAGCCTAGAGGTGCCCTTACAGTCCATCTAGTTCAACCTCTCATTACACTGATGGACAAACTTAGGGGAAGACTCATACAGACAATAGTGGCAGAGCTGAACTCCTACAGAGCACTCCTCTTATATTCCACTTTTCCCTAAGTGATGGATGGCACAGCCAAGTCCCAGAGCTGATAAGTGACTTGACCAAGGTCAAACCAAAAAACTGTGACTGAGATACAGTAATTACAAGACTTTGAATTCTGTGCAAATAACAGCAAGTGCCTCATCTGGGTGGCTTTTTTCCTAGTAGTATGTGTGGCTTTCCCAGCCTCTTCTACGTGCCACCCCTTTGGGTCTTCCTTGTTAGTATAAGCAGCCCCAAGAAGCCAAAGGGTGCTGGAAATCAGGGTAGTCTAGTACTGAGCCAGGGCTTTATCTTGAGGAGAGGCAGTAGCCCCTGCTTAGGCATATGGCTCATTTTTTACCACAGTTCCTAGGAGAAAGGTAGGGCCCAAGCAGCTTTTGCTTTCTATTGTACAGAGGGAGTTCCAAAGGACACATAGGCACTAGCTAGTTAGAAACAGAACTAGGTTTAGGGTCCAGTGCTTCTGCTGATCACTTCCCCTACACACCCACCACTCTCTTCCCTTTTCCACTCTTTACTTGATCTAGTTTTATCACTTAGAGTAATATAAAACAAACCTAGAACATTAGAGCTGAAATATATCTTCATCAACTTGTATTCTAACCCCTTCATTTTACAAATTGAGGAACTGAAGCCCAGAGAGGGGAAGTGACTTGTCCAAACTCATCCTGCTGGAAAGTGTCTCAGGCCCAGAGCACAAGATAATGGATGAACTTTCTTTTGAGCTACTCAAGATACCCCATCACAAGAATTTGCCTCCTTTTCTTCCTGGACCAGGTACAGAAGTACAGGGCTGGGAGAGGAAAGGAGTGTACATAGCTTCAGATTCTGAAGAGCAATGTTCACTAATCTTGTAGTTCCTACTATTGGTGAACACAGGCACATGTGTCTGGTGTCCAGCCCCTTGACAGTCTGTTGGAAAGGAAATGGTGACAATCTTCAGGCAAGCCTCACTTTGGGCCAGTTCTTGAGGCCTGATTTTCAGTTCCAAGAGAGATTTTTAACTTCCAAGCCCTGGCTAAGCCTAATGGAGGATGTTAAGAGGCAGCTATATACAATAGGTAGTAGTTAGAGCTGATTGAAATCAGTTAATGGTGTCCTTTGTGTTATATAATGGTATTAACTCTTAATTGCCATAGAATTATGGCTTAGTTGATAGGTGGGCCTGGTTTTATCTTATAGTTGTACATGAATCTCCCAGAAGAGGACCTGGAATATTGGGATTCTTATTTCTGAATTCTGCCTAGCTATCCCCAAACAGCCTGTGCAAAGTTCAAAAGTACCCCAAGGAAGATATTTCCTCAGATGGCATGGCCAGGACATTTCTTATCCTCTGCAAAACCCAACCTATTGACCTAACAAACCCACTGTCAGCAACAACACAGAAAATCTTTAGGTCTTGAAACAGCCTTGACCCTACTATCCCTTACATGTGGCTGTGTGGTGACTTACCCTTCCTGGGTAAGTCAGCCTGCCTATGTGAACTATTAGAAAATCTTGGGTTCTGTCAAGGCCTTGGTAAACAGATCAGGTCTTAACCCTGATCCTGAGATGACCCAGGGCGCTGGCTACTGTAGGTGGTTGGAGGTGGGTGTGTGTGTGGGGGGGGGGTCTTTTACCTGCCTGCAGCCTAGGTTTTCATTCCAGCTCACCTACACAAGTTGCAGATAAACCTTAATCAAAAGACCGGCTATGTTTCCAATTGCGCTTCTGTCTGTTGAGAGGTAAAACTAGCCTCTGGAAGGGTAGCTTCTTTGTCTTGGAATTATTTTGTTCACCCCAAAGAAAGCCCAGTGGCTACTCAGTGCCCCAGAGCTGGCTTCAGTGTCCCTAGATGCCTTCCTAGTGTTTTGGTTCTCCTTAAAGTCTCCTTTGTTGCAGTCACAGGGTGCCCAGCCAAGCCCAGAGGTCCCCAAAGCCATGCTGTCTGAGATGTCTGAGATGAGTGGTGTGTCCCATGCCCTAGTGCATAAGTAACCCGGGTGAACCCCCCAATGGTATCCTTCATGTGAAGGTGTTTTCTAAAAGCAGCCACCCACAAAAATGGGCACTGGCTCCATCCCCATATCAGGAAGCTGTGCCTTCCATTCATGCCCCCATCTAATCATCATTCAAGTCATCTTCACTTCCTCCCCTTCCTCTGCCCATACCTTCCTTGAATCTGAGAACACCGGCGTACTCTGATCCCAAACCCTTATGCCTGGGGCAACCAAACACAAAATCAGAAAGCAGAAACAGCAATTCCCTTTATTTTAGAACCCTGTGAAAAGACAAGTTTTTGAGGACGGGGGCCATGCCTCTGTCCCCTTTTTAATCTTGATAGAATCACAGTTAAGTAGGGGCTTTCTTCAAAACTTTGACTCCTTCAGTACAGGACTTAGAAGGGGCCTATGTAACTATTTCATCCAGCTGTTCTCTCTGTTGACACCCCCCTGCTTCATTTTATAGATGTAAAAATGAGGCCCTAAGAAAGAAGATGTGATTTGCTATGTGATCTTATCTGACAAGCACATGACCTCAGGCCCTTGTTCATCTAGGTTATCTCCTTCCTGCTCCTGGGACTGATGTCCATGATGATTCCGCTCTGCCGGGGCTTTGGGGGCCTCGTTGTTGTCTGCCTTTTCCTGGGCCTGTGCGATGGCTTCTTCATCACCATCATGGCCCCCATTGCATTTGAGCTGGTGGGCCCAATGCAGGCCTCACAGGCTATTGGCTATCTCCTGGGCATGATGGCCCTGCCGATGATTGCTGGGCCACCCATTGCAGGTGAGGCTGATATTAAAGGGAGGGCACAAGTCTTCCCTGGGCCCTAGTTCTCCTGAGTACTTTTCCTTGAAGTCCCCTTTATTCTCTATTTAAGCAGCCTTGTTAGAGTGCATGAAACCCCTTACCACTATGGGTGCAAGAGACTAAGCATAGTATATATGCATGGATTCACTTTGGGGAGTGGAATTTTCATGGCTCTATATCTGTTCCAGTATTTTACTGTAGACAGCATAGGTGATTCCAGGATGGTAGAGAGAGATGGGTTTGGCCTTCTTGGCCATTCTATTGATCCAATATCCTTTCTCTGTTCATAGGCAGGTAATTATTTGCATGGTAGTTAGGCAGGAAGAGAAGAGAAAGTGGGTCCCAGTTTTGTTAAGACTTAGGGATCCTCCTCCCACTCCACATACATTCCTCTCCTGGCTTCTGAACTGAGCCTGTACAGAGTTTTGACTAAGGCCACATCAGAACTGGGCCAGTGAGGTTCACTTCCAGTAACAGCAGACAAAGTTTTGGCTTGCCATCTTCCAGCACTCCCAGTTTCTCTCTCCATTCTCCAAGAAGGGCACTGTTGGTACCCAAGAAACATAGCATGGAAAATCAATGAAAAGAGGACTTCGTTTCCTTTCTTTAGGGTTTATTGCAAATACTGATTCATGAGCTACCCTTTCCTAGGCTGGCCAATTGGGCCAACAGAACAAATATTCCTTGAACAACATTCCTGTGCAAGACGCTATGGAGGCACTGGTCATGCTGTGTGACAGTGGCAAAAGCTTCCATTCAGGCATTTGTATAACAGCCACACTGTCCACTGAAGGGGTAATCTCTACCCAGCCCCTGTTCTCAAAGGTGGGTCCCAGAATCCACATCTCTTTCCAATTTGCATACCTCCTAAGCAGGCTGAGGGCCTGCTTGCCTTTCCTCAGCAGTGTTTCTGGGCTCATTCTCCCTATGATGTGCCCCACACTAGCTTCTGGAGGTAAGCAAAGGAGGCCTTGCATCCCATGCCAAATATATCCATGGTATTGGCAACTTAGAAGAACCCAGGGTAGGCAGCCATATCTGTAATGGGAAGGAAAGGTATGCATGAAGCCTCCTAGGGCAGATGGGAACTTCACAGAAAGGGTACTTCAGAAAAGGGGAAAATAGGGACTTGGCTGAATTATTCTACAAGAATCCTCTGGCCCAAGTTGGGGGTGGGATGGTATTTCCTTGTGAACCCAGACAAAGCTTAGCCATCTTCTGTGGAGTTCTTTTAAACTGACTTTCCTCCTAATTCCATATCTAGGAGTGAGTGAAAATTAGCTGTAGCTTCATGAAAGTAAAAAGTAAAAAATGGGGAACTTTAAGGGAAGCTTCATAGCTTCTTTCCTAATGAGTATTAACTTCAAGGGCCTGTAGCCCAGTACCTTGGGGAGGAGCTGCCTGCCTTTGTAATAGAGGTTTTATTTCTCCCATCTAGGAGTGTTTGATTGAGGGGCCTCCTCAGGTCAAGGCAGTGCAAGCCAGGATTCTCTGGATAGGAATTGTGATGGCCCTTAGAAGAGGCAAAGAGCACCTTTAATTATTAGGGCAAAGATGAGCTTGACTTATCTCTCTTGACTGTTTCAGGCCTTCTCCGCAACTGTTTTGGGGACTACCATGTGGCCTTCTACTTTGCCGGTGTGCCCCCCATCATTGGGGCTGTAATTCTTTTCTTCGTCCCTCTGATGCATCAAAGGATGTTCAAGAAGGAGCAAAGGGATTCCAGCAAGGATAAGATGTTGGCCCCTGACCCAGACCCCAATGGGGAGCTGCTTCCAGGCTCCCCCACCCCTGAGGAACCAATCTAATGTCTTTACCATTGTGTGCTCCTCCCCAACCCTTTCACCCCACCCTGCTCAGCATTTACATTTTTGCCACCAGCACACATGTCCCAAACCTGCACACACAGCATTTCAGCCACTTGACCATCACCTTGGAGCCAAAGCTCATTGTTAAACTCATTAATCAAATTCTTCCTGTGAATGCCTTTAAACTTGCCAGGGTCTAGGGAAGTCTGAAATCTCTCTCAGCCGTTGGAACCTCTCCATATACTTTCTAATCTCTGTGGGAGGTGGGGGATGGACCATCCAGGCCCCAGCTTGTTAGACACCCACTAAGAGCAACTGCCAAGGTGCTACTGTGTCCCCAGGAGCCTAGTGGGAATATCCAAGTCTCTGTGTGCTGAGGAATTCCTTGCCATCTGTCCGTGGGATCTGCTGGGAGTGAGGGGAAGGGCAGAGAGGTAAAATGAGGCAAAGAGCCTTGTTTAGCCTCAGAGTCTCCAAAAGCTGTGGCTTCCCAAGAGCTGGGGGTGCCATCATTTTACAAGTGTACAGATAGTCTCCCCATCATATGGTTGGTTAACAGTCTATTTCCTTCTTCCTTTCTTCCTGTTTTTTCCCCCTCTACTGCCTCCTCTCCCTTCTCTTCCCCTTTTCTTTTTATGACTGTCATAGGCACATGGGTGCTTGAAGAGAGAGGGGACCTAGAGCTTGGGCCAATGAGCCTCACCTTGGTCCAGCCTACCACTAACTAGCATCAATCCCATTCATCTCAGGCTGAGCCACATCTCACTCTCTGGCTCAAGCTGCTATAATCATAGACTGGAAGAGTAGAATATCACATAGGGAAGGGGCCTTAAACATTACAAAGTTCCACTCACTGATTTTTACAGATTTTCTAGGCTCAACTCCCCATCCTTGTATCCTTCTGTCAAAATGTGAAGAAATTCCTTTCATCTCAGCAGACAGAGGACTGATGACAGGGGTGGCATGGTGGAGGGAGGATGGAGGGACAATAGTTACTGACCTGGTGAAGGACCAACTCCTTCATCTCTCATTATTCTTGACAGGTCAGTATTTCTACCTGGACCAGGCCAAGAAAGGGACTGTTTTAAGGAAAAAGCCCATTCCCAACATGGAGCCCAAAAAGGTAGAGTCAGCAGTGTTGGACATGAGGTTGGACAATTTCTTTTAGGAAGTATAAACCATCCTAGCCTTTACATCTATCATGTCCCCCATGCTGGACATCCTGGGCTACTCTGCTGAGTGGGCATTAAAGGTGTCAGGAAAGGTACCCTCTGGACCATTTTCATCCCTTTGAAATAGGTGACAGATGCTTCCCTTTGGCCAAGCTTTGGGCAACGTTCTTGCTGAAGAGCACTCCCAGCCAGGTTATGTCCAACTACCACAACTCACCTCATTAGGAGCTCAACTTCTCTCCTCACTTGGCCCCTATGTCTCTTTCCCCATATCCTGGGCCTTTGTCTGCTGTGTTCCTCTTTCCCTAACATTTCATCATCTTCTTGCCAGGCATCCTTGGCTGTCACTTGGAGCTAACAGTGACTTGCCACCCCAAGCCAAGGTCATCCCTGGGCCAGGAGGATGAGGTTGCCACTGAGGGGCTCCAAAGAAGAAAACTATCCCCACCCATAAGTTTTTTCATTACAAACAGATGCCTGGGACATGGTTGGCCTCTGATAGCCTCCTTCAAAGCCAAATTCCTGTCCTCCACTGATCCCAGTCCAGGTCCTATCAATTACCCAAAGGAAAACCCACTTGTTTTTGTCCCTGTGTATAGAAAGGGACCTAATTACTATTCTGTAAGCTCAAACAGGAGTAGAATGGGAGAAGCTGGACTCCAAGAGCCTTGTAAGCCCCAGAAGAGACCATTGAGAATGTTGGGACAATCAAGCCCATTTCCACTCCTCTCTATCACACCCCCACCAAGTCACAGAGTGGAGAGGGGTACAGGGCTGGGGGGCAGTTCTGCTGGGCCTCCTTTGTTGCTCACGGTGTGGCTAGCTCTTAAGAATCAGCCTGCCAATCACTTCTCTCCAGATGGAGGAAAATCATTCACAGGTCCCAAATCTGCCCCATCAGGTGTCACATAACATGGCACAGTATCAGTTTACTTCTTCACACATATGCGTGTGCATGTGTGGAATTATGTACATTTGGAGAATGTTGGTTGGTGAAGGCAGCACAGTATTAATATTTAGGTAGGATGCAGCCTCTTACACACCACAGTTATGTAAGAGAACAAACAAAATTTTGGAGCTTGAGATCTGGGACATTTAAATCTTTAAATGGTTTGGAACCAAATAAACAGATCTAACTATGTAGCTTTGGTATGTATGTTGCCTACAAAGTGAAATAGTCTTAATATGGTTAACATCAGGAAGTTTGGCATTGGAAGTTAAATTTCAAATTTCTGCCAGGGTGAAAGCAGAAATTGGAAAAGGAGCTACACAGGGGTTTGGAGTTGGGTGGACTATTCAGGACTGGATTTTTTAGGGGGCTCTGAAGTAGAAAAGAGGTCACTTGACAAAATGAGAACATGATTAGTGGCTAAGTGGGAATGGAGGCCCCATGAAGGCCACCACTTTGCCACAAATATGCCATGTTGAAAATTGGCAAAGACCTTAGCAATAATCCAGTTCAAGACCCCTTTCCTCTCCCTTGTTATTGATGGGGGAAAATGAAGTGACTGGTATAGCTGGGTTACACAGTCAGGCAGTGACAGACCCTGGAATTGAGGGTGATGCAGGAGAAAGACCTATAACAATTATAAAGCTCGGAGTAGCCATAGAGTCTTCCCTTGTCCATACTCTGCATTGAATTGAAGGAGGGAAAGAGGCCTAGAAATAGGAAGAGACTGCAGCAGGATCACAGTTCATCAGTAACGGAGCAGGCTGAGACTTGAACTCAGGTAATCAACTTCCAGTCCAGTCCAAGCCCCTCATTTTACAGGTGAGGAAATGGATCCAAGGAAGGGAAAAGAACTTGCCCACTTCATTCAACAACTATGTAGTGAGCCCACTTCCAAAAGGATGACAGCAGGACCAGCTCCAAGCAAATGAAATATGAGCTAAGTCTAACTTTTAGCATACCTCATCTTTTCATGATTACTCTTACTCCCAGCTGACACATACCTTTGGTCTTCCCTCTTCCCAAGCACTCCAGACCTTCATGCATCCTTGGCCTTGGAAGAGCTGGTCCTACCTGCTGTTCTCCACCCCCAGCAACCCAAAATAAATCCATCTCTCTATGGCCATACACTGAACAGGAGAGGGATGAAGAGAGCTTTCTAGTTTCCTTTGAAAGAGGGTGATTTACCACCCATCTCTTGGCTATTGTTGCTTCTCCCCTGACTCAGTGCAAACATCCTCAGGCTCCCAGCATCCTTATCTCCTCCCACAAAGACTAATTACTCTGGTAATTAGTAATGATGACTGGCCTCAGGCTCTCCCACCCAGGTCTGCTGCTCCCTCAGTCCCTCCTCGAGCAGCTGCAAGGCCCCAGTCTGTGTTTGATCACTCAGGATTATTAGATTTCAAAGCTGTGGAATCCCATAATTTTTATAAGCATATCCTCTCCTCCCAGGCTTTTCTAGGTCTGAAGAGGCAGCCAGCAGCTATCTGCTACTTCTCCACAGCAGCAGAGCAGGCCAGCTGACAGGGATTACAGGTGCCCCCAGCAAATCCCTGGTGTCTGACAGCTGGTCCTAGATAGGGTAGGTGCTGATTTGAACCAGAGCCCATGAAGGAGGTTCTGGAATTCTAATATACTGAAATGTACAAGAGACTTCAGAGGCAAAGGGAAAGGGTTGGATACCCAACTTTTGCAGGGGTTGAGGCTTTGCTTAAGAAGGTTCTTTGAGTCCTGCCTTTCAGCTCTCTCTAGTGGTCACCAGAAGCAGAGTTCCATGTTTGATTTTCAAGTCATTTCAGCAATACTTTTTGGGACCAGTTATGTGTCAGACTGTGGATAAAATGAAAGTTCCTGTAGCCAGGATTCTCACCTGGCCCTGGTTGGCTAGCTCACTACACACGTGTGGGAAATATGTTGTTATTGACTCTATATAAAGAGGCCTGCCCAGTGCTCTGGGTGACACGGTGGCATGGCTGCAAGGCTGCAGGAGAGCAGCGCAGAGGACAGAGAGGCTCAGAGGACGGCTGTGCAGGATGACTGTGCATGCAGAGAGGCCCGGAGGACGGCTGTGTGGGACGGCTGTGCGGGCAGACAGGCGCAAAGGTAGAGACCAGCTTGCTGCATGCAGACTCGCTCTGAGTGGATGGGGTTCTAGTGACTGACCTGCCACTGTGGAAATAAAGTTGGGTATAACCCTTTCACCCCAAGAACATTTTACTGTCATTCCTTTGGTCAAATTGAATCCATAGTGAACTTGCCCAGTGCTGAAACCCATTGACAAGACACAGACCCTCTGCTAGAATCCAGGGATTTCAGGAATCAAATGAACACAGATAGAGAAAACAGAGAAGAAACACAAGGAGTATGTGCAATCTTTTTTCCAAGATACCTCTTCCTCTTCTAGAACCCAATGGTCCAGAGCTTATGGACCTCAGAGCCTTTGGGGTAAGACTGGGGCCACCATGACCCTTCCAGAACAGAGACCGCTGCGTTTTCTCCCCCCCATGGCAGGCCACTGGCCTCCTTCTGGGTAGAGCTTCTGGGGAGAACTACATGTTCTTCAGCTTTGGTTTCCAGCTGAGCCCAAGCGCAATCAAATTAGCCATTACTCACATCTAACAAGTGCTAGGGCCCTGTGTCCAGCTAGGGGCAGGGGAGGACAGTGGTGAACCAGGCTGTGCTGCTGCCCAGGCAACTAGGATGCATGGACTACCAGCACCCTAAGGTGCTGCACCCGGCCCAGCACCTCCTCAACTCCCCCACCCCACCCCACCTGCCTCTGCTCCTGCCACAGACTGTGGCCGCACAGCAGGAATGGGGGGTAGAGCTGGGAAGGGCACTGCTGCTCCTGGTCCAGCTGCTGACCTCTGGCCACCTTGAATGGGGAAGGGGCGGTTCCTGCCCCTTGGTGGCACTCCATCCACTTCCCCTTCTGGGAGGGTAAGCTCCCAGGAGGCAGATGCACCATGGAGATGCATCTGCCCCTGCTACTCTGAAGGAAATCTGGCCCCAGGGCAGGGGGATGGGAAGGAAGGTGGTAAAGCCCAGTCCAGGGCCCTGCTAGCTGTTGGGGGAGCCAGACAGATAGATAGCAGCTACCAGGTGTCCTAGGCTCAGCTTCTCCTCAATCCCCGGCCTGCATCACTGTCACCAATGATGCAGCATGGCCATGCTCACCAGAGCACCCTGTCCAGAGTCCTGGAGGCAATTTGGGCTGGGCTGGCAACACCGACTTCCCACCAGCGGGCCTCTTCTCTCTTCCCCTACCAGATTTGGCCTCAAGGCCCCAAGGGAGAGGTTGGGCTACAGCTAGCAAAAGACCTAAGTGATTCCAGGCACTAGGCCCGCCAGAATGAGGGGGCTGGAGGTGGGAAGGGCCTGCAGAAAATGCTCAGGCCCAGAACAGCCCTCCTCCAACACCCTCCTCTTCAACCTCCAACCCTGGCCTGGGCATGTGGGGCCACCTCTTCCATGCAGGTTGGCACAATGGGGCTGCCTCTGCCAAAGAATTGGCCCACTCCTCGACACCAACCCCCCAACTCCAAGTCCCCATAAACACTTTACCAGGACTCCCTGAGGCATCCATGATGTGGGAACTCCCAGCTCTGGCTGGCTCCCTCACCACACTGGATCCCACCCAGGGTGAAGGTGAGCCCCTATCAACTGCCCTAGTCTCACACAAGTGAACTAGCCAGATTTTGTAGGCTTGAGAACCCTCCTCCAAACCTAGATGAAACTTCAGGAATGAACCAGACTGATTCTAAGAACCCACCCTCCTCAGTTTGCTCTCCACCAAACACTTCTCCAACCTGCTTTCTTCAGTCACTTGCCTAAGTAGTGGTGAAGAAGGGGGCCAGGATAGCCACCTCCCCTCCTCTCCCCTCCCACACACACTCACATAAGTTCTTCCTCCCCCAAGGTGGAGTCTTCTGTTGGGGGGTAGCCTGAAAGATTATTCTGCCTTAAGTCTTGCAAAGGCCAAAGTTCCTCCTATCACTTAGAGGTCTTCCAGCTACCTGCCTCCTCATGGGGCTTTTGTCCTCCCCACAGACACACTCTTTCAATCTTCCAGCTCCATGAACACAAAGGCCTTCTCCACAGCGTACCTGGACACAGAGGCCCCCTTCAATGATAACAGGGTACCCTCATTTGCGGGTGGGCAATTTACAGTTCACAGGTGCTCCTGCATTCCCCAAACTGCAGCAGCTACTCTTATTCCTGTTTGACAAATGGAGAAAGTGAGGCCGAGAGCAGAACTAAATGCCATGTTTCTAATCCCTTCTCCAAGGCTCTTTCCACCCCCCTCACAAAAAGTAGGGAAGTGAATCTCTCTTTTCCCTTGACTTCTTAGAAAGCCTACTTGCTGCTCCTGGAGTCAGTACCTGTGGCCCCCAGGCCAAAGATGGAGGCAAGGCAGGCAGCACAAGCTAATTCAGAGTCCTTGTGCACCCCAGCTTCTCTTACAGAGGGAAAGGGATGGGGAGAGGAATGTGGAAGAGGAATTAAGAGTCTTTGATCTGCCTTTCCCTAGGAGTACACAGTATTGTCTTCTGGGTTCCTCTCTGTCTCAAAATGGAGGCAAAAACTCCAAAATGAGCTCTCCCATGCCTTATTCTCTCAGTCCTTCACTCATTATTCAATAAAATTATCATCACTGACGGCTGATTTCCAGGACCTTGTTTTATGCCCATAGATGCACAAAGCACACTTCGTCTGGTCTGGTTTTTGGGGATGGGATTGAGGAACAGTTCCTGGTAGGCCCTGCTTTCATGGGAAAGGATTCGTGTGTCTAAGTGGTCAACAAAGCTAGCTCAGAGGCCCCCTCTTCTGGACTTCCAGTGCTTTGTCAAGCTACAGAGGGGATGGGGAAAAGCAGCAAATATCATGCAATTAAGCGTAATGGAGCTCTCAAGGCAGCACCTGGGGAAAGGAAGAATGGAGGCCATGCCTAAATCCCCCTGCCCACATACATCAGTGAGGTGGACTTGTCCCATATATGCCTCTTAGGAACTGTGGCCATTACCTTCCTCCTCATCTCCCCTACCCCCCGTTAAGAGATTCTATGTGTTTTTAGGGGACCTTGGTGTCATCTATCAGCCCCACCCCACAGTACTGCCTTCCTTGGTGGGCTCTAAATTACCAGATCACAAAGCCTAAGCCTTTCCTTCAGGGTGAACACCTTCAAGCATCC